ATAACCTTACATCTGTTATATTTATTTGTCATAGCTCAACATTTCATGGATTATGAAAGTTTTGTAACTGCAAATATTAGTTGCAGTGATATCTAATAAATTTGTATTAATATACGTTTATAAAATCGTTCTCATCGTTTGATTACGGATCTAAATCTAGAATTTTCTAATTATCGATATTAAACACATTGACAAGATTAAAATTCTGACAAGATGACAAGATTAATATTAAATTTAATACCTCCATGCATCATTTAATGAGCGGTATTCACTGTTTGGTAGTGCAAAGAATACCGTTTGGTATACATTGCACTACGAAATAGTGAATGTTCACTATTTCAGTTTCAGAGAATGAAAAGCCGTGCCCTGTAGAGGATCTTCGAGGACATGAATAAAATAATAATAAATAAATATATTATTATTATTATCAAATTCTTAAAAGGTCGGTTTTTGATCTACAGGCGATGAAAAACCGACTAAAAATTATGGAACGTTTTGGTCTGTTTTTGACCTTGATGCAATCAAAACCAGCTAAATGATTGTGACAAAAAAGTCTGATTTTGGTCTTGAAACAATATAAAACAATTTTATTGTAACATCAAAAATGATCTGAAATTGGTCTGAATTGGGAATAGTACGGGCAAAAACAGATTAAATTCTAATATAAAATAGATACACATAATAAAATTAAATAGAATGAAAAATATTAAAAATTTTCATTAATCGTAAAACAGATTAAATTTTTTGAACCGGGTATCATCATTTTAAGTGAATAAAATTGTACCACCCAATGAAATAGTCTTTTCTGAATAATACATATTTTTTGCAAAGACATAAACTATAATTTTTATATTAAATTTTAGCGTTCAACTATACCTCCCAATTTTCAAAGCGGTACCCAGAACTTGAACAAGCTGGGACCATATAATTTTAACAGCTCTCTAACCTTTGATAGGTTTATAGACTAGTGATCAGTATTGTGATTTGTATTAATTACTGCAAATTAAATAAGTTTTATAATTAAAAATTAGTATAGTTAAAAATTATTGAACGTTTTGAATTGAGTTTTTTTGATTTATAATTGAAAATTTACTTTGTCATTCATAAAAAATGTAATTAAAAAATCAAATACAAATGTTTCTCATTTTTAAATGAACATATTAAATATTTATAGTATTATTTTTAGTATTATTCAATAATATGTTATAAATCTTTGAATATTTCAATAAAACATTAAAAATTTTTGGTATGCCTATTGCCATATATTTTATTAGTTCAACTACTGCTCCCGGAGTGTTCAACTACTGCGGCTTGTCAGAATTGATTGTTCAACTACTACTCCTTTCATAGTCTATCTTAAAAACGTTGTCAAATTATAAATATTAAATTATTTGCGTTATTTTGCACTTCAATCAATTCAAAATTGTTTATATTTTCATGAAAATCACTAATTTGAACTAATAATTACATCTTTATATATTAAAAGTAGGATCAAATACGTTTTACTTTGAAACCTGTTCAACTACTGGGTACTTTACCTTATACAAAACCAAATAAATAAATAAATAATGTTTAGAAAAGCATATAAAACATAAATATGAGACAAAACTTTCTTTTTTCTCCCAATTGTATCGATAATTAAAAACACTTTTCAGAAGGTGGGGATTCTGAAAGCGGACACAAAGGTGGCAACAAAGCCAAACGCGTGCGAACAACCTTCACCGAGGAGCAATTGTCCGTACTCCAGGCAAATTTTCAACTGGACAGCAACCCCGATGGCCAGGACCTCGAAAGGATAGCTCATGTGACAGGACTCAGTAAAAGAGTCACTCAAGTGTGGTTTCAAAATTCTAGAGCTAGGCAGAAAAAGCACTTACATACCGGGAAAATGAAAGGCCAACATTGTTCGTAATATTTCTTCTTAACTTCTATTAAAATCTCTATAAAAAAAAAAAATTAACTTAAATCAAGTAAATAATTTTGAAGAATTTAATTTTCTTGATTTGAGTAGAAAAATTCTCAAACTAAATTTTTGAATAAATTTTACTTGATTCAAGAATTTTTTGACTTGATTAAAGTCAATAAAATTTTTTTAAATTAAGAATTTTTTTCTTCACTCATAATTTTTTTTTTCAGTGCATTAAAAATGATTAAAAAAACTTTTAATAAATTAAAAAAAAAAAAACTTTTAAACTTAAAAATTCATTTCTATATAAAATTGAACTGATTAAATTTTTTTTTCTGTGTCCCTAAAAATATTTTTATATAAATCAATGATTTTTCTTTGATTCAAAATAGCTCACCAGTCACCCCCGAATTCTTCCGCTGCAACTGGAGACTTCGGCAGACATATAAACTTGCATTTAACTTACTCATTCCAACATCAGCAACAGCACCAACACAATCAGGGGCATCCAAACCAATTAAGTCCTGCCGCGTGCAAAAGTCCCACTCCGTCGATGTATCATAACCACGGTAACCCGATTTAAATATTTTAAACAATAAAAATTAATTTTTTTGATGGTAATAATTTGTCAATAAGCAATTGACGATTCCAGTTTTTTCAGGCTCCGAGCAGTCGATGGACGAACTTTCCCAGGACTCAATGATGCTTACTATGTCGAATGAAGTATAGGAAAATATGATATTTGTTTTAAATTTTTTAATTATTCTCACTTTTGTAAATATATCTGTTGTTAAAATATATGTCATTTTTATTTAATATTAATGTGAGAATTTTTATAAATTTTAGAATTTTTATCTCAAGCTCAAAGTCTAATTTAGAAAATTATTTTATTTATTTGTAAATCATTAGATTAAGTCGCTTGAAGCTTATTTTAAAATAATTGCTGCATAGAAATCTGCACAATAGGTACATTATTAATTTTAAAATTTATAGTCTTTATAAAAAAAAAATTATTCGAGTTTATTAGTAATTGTAAATATTGTAAACTAATTATCTAAATATACGTAAATTGCACGAAAAAATGTTTTTTTTTTTACATCCAATAAATATTAATTTATAATAAATTATTTTGTGGTTAATAAGGATTTTTAAATAAAAAATTAAACAAATAATTTAACAATAAAAGATTTTTTTTTATTAATAATTATTATCATAAATCTCATTAATAGTAATTACAATAATTAATTAAATAAAACACATTTGTTGACAAAAGTCTTTACAATAAAATATAAAAGTCAAAAAAAAAAATTTACAAAAAAATATATGTACAGTGTAAATACTTGAGAATAATATATAAATATATAATACACAATGCAGCATTATCCACAGCTATTAATAATGCCATAGAATTTAAAAAAAAAAAAACGCAATAATATATTTACAAATATATAATATATAATAGAAGAAAAATAGGCAAAGATATTTTAACGAGAGTAGTTTCGTGAATTTAGATTTTTTTTTTTATTTCCCGCAGAGTATTTTTGAGATGTGTGTTTGAGTTTTAAAAGAGTAGAAGCTACCTGGCGCGTTCCGAAACAATTGTGCTCTAGAAAGTATTTTGCTGAAGGAGAACCGGACAAGAAATAGTCTCAGCGGGGATTTATTGAGAAAAGTAGAGGTATTTACTGTCTTGAGATCTGATTTTTACGGGTAAATAGTGGGTCGGGATCGGATTGAGAATAGGATGGATTGAAATAGAGGGCAACTCGTAAATTATATCCCTTAGTGGCAGAATTGGGGCTGTAAATGGGTAGGCGTTGTTGGGGTCAACGGCGTCAACGGTGTCAAGGGTGTCAGGGGGCTGTCAGGACTCTCACTGCTGGTGCTGCTACCCTGGTACCCGGTGAAGTAAGTGCCTATGTTGACGCCTCCGGAATAAAGATCACTTGGGTGGTGATGTAATACTGGTGACGATTGATGCACTGAAAAATTTTATTATTATTATTATTATTATATTGTTTTTTTTTTTTTTATTGATCATGTATTTTTATTTATTCATTTTATAATTGTAATGAAAAAAAGATAGCAATTTGCTAAATAAAGATTATTATTATTATTATTAGTTTTTTTTTTTTTTTAATTGTAGAGTTCAGTAATTCAAAGCCAACTTTCCCGATCCAAATTGATGGTAGACTAAATTTATAATTTTCATTAAATTTTAATTTTTACTTATTAACTATTTTCATCACATTATTGTCGGTATGAGCAGTCAAACCATCCTCGGGTGAATATATCTAACAATTAAAAATCTTTATTTAATTAAGATTAAGCAAAGATGTTATATTTTTTTACTCAGTGAAACTTTTTTCGGTCACCGAAATTATTTTTATTATTATTATTAATTTGTTTTTTAAAATTTTTATTGATTATGTATTTTTATTTATTTCTTCATAATTATTGTTATGGAAAAAAGATTGCAATTTGCTCAATAAAGATTATTATTATTATTATTATTGGATTTTTATTCCAGTCTAATAAAAACAATTTTTTAATTTATTCCGCCTGTATTTCCCTCCAGGAAGTGTATAAAAGTGTAAAATGAATGTCTGATGATGTCTAGAGGGAAATATTGCGAAGAAATATTTAAAAAAATTATTTTCATTAGACTGGACAGCTCATTACCTAAAAATTTAATAATAATAATATTTATTTCTAAAGACTGGTTTTTAATACTTATTTCGATTTTCAGTTAATTGGTTACCCAGTCTAATACAACAATTTTTATTTTTTCGTAATATTTTTTAGCCTGTATTTCTCTCCAGGCATATTAATTATTACAATTTAGCCACAATTCATATTTAAACTTATCATTAAAGATAAATTTAATTGAAAAAAATTTCAGTTAAATTTATCTTTAATTATTATTATTATTATTACTTTTTCAATTTTAAATTTATTGGCTATCCAGTGTAATACAACAATTTTTGTTTATTCGTAATATTTTTTTTTTTAGTTACGGACAGTGTTTTGGATAGCTTAACAGGTAGAGCCTTTGGCACGTAACCAAAAGATCCAGGTTCGACTCCTGGTCTGGGCCGCCCGAATTATTTTTTCAGTCAAATTTATCTTTAATGACAAATTCAGATATGAAATGTGGCTAAATTATATAGGGTAGAGGTACCGATTTTCGCCACCTTAGCACCATTTTTGGCTAGTTAACATTTGAATTCATTTATAAAAAAAAGGCCATTCGGCAGCCGAAATGGAAGTAGATTTTTCAAATAAAGAAAATTGATTTTTAATGAAATTATATAAATACTTATAATGTATAATTTAATTTATGAATTAAACACAAAATTCAATAATAAATTTAAAACTATTTAGAACAAATTTCGGAAAAAAAATTATCTCGTGAAGAAAAAGTTTCTCGAACATTTATCAAACAATTGCAAAGATTATAAAATTTGAATTTTATAAATGTTCAAATTTTAAGTAACTGCTTAGTAACAACATTTTCCAAGTTAATCTGAATTTTGAAACCGGATAAAATTTTAATTGAAGAAAACAATATTTAGAACTAATTTGTGACATATTTACTGACGACCTACCCGAAAACATTACAGGAAAGACTGATTAATATCGTAATTATTGAATTTACATCATGATTAAGCTATGATGAGGGACAATAATTCTAAAACGGCTGCAACAGTAAAACTGTTTCATTAAACGAACTCTGAAAGATGTAATATTGAGGCTATTACTACTTCTGAGTAGTGGAAATTGAAGCTTATTAAAAGGGCTTTACGATGCATTTGACCGGATTTTAATATCTTGTCTAGTTCAGTAATTATACCAAGTTGAAGTAGTAAAAACAGCAATTTTTACGATTTTTAAAATTTCAAAATCCTGTCATTTTTAAATTACTCGCCCGATTAAGCTCATCTTCGAACTTAACCTTAGTCTTGATCGATAGATAAAGCATGTTAAGTTTGAGAAGAATCGGTTATAAATTGAAAACGCTATCGTGCTGACAAGCCGCGTTATATCGTATAAATATATATGTATATAAATACATACATATATAAACTTTTGAACGAACTACATATTCTGACTCAGCTCGACAAACTGAGTCAGAAAATGGCTAAATTTTTTAAAAGTTGCGCCATGAGGACGGCTGCAATAGTTAAATTTTTATAAAATCTACTAAAAATTATGATATTATAACCATATTTTTGTTGAGTTTTAAAAAATTTACATTAAAACAAATTGAGTTTGTAATGGTTTATTAATATAAATTTATTTCTATTGTTTATTTCAACAATAAATGGCCATAAACGGTACAGTGGCTACAAACGGTACTTCTACCCTATGCCTGGAAGGAAATACAGGCTAAAAAATATTATGAACAAGTAAAAATTGTTGTATTAGATTGGATAGCCAATAAACTTAAAATTGAAAAAATATTAAAAAACAACCAGTCTTTAGAAATAAATATTAAAAAATATTATTATTATTATTATTATTATACCGGAAGATATGGAAAATGAAGATAGACATCTATACTTTAAAAGACGATTAAAAGAATATGTAAAAAATTTATTCTAATGATATACTTCATTATTGTGTTTGAAAAATTTTAATCGATGATGTATTTTATAAATATTTTCTAAATAAAGATTATTATTATTATTATTATTATTATTATTATTATTATTATTATTATTTAAATAAATAAAAAAGAAATTTACTTTGTGTTTTGACTTTCCCACTGTGTTTTTTCTGTCTAGCTCTAGAATTTTGAAACCAAACTTGCGTAACTCTTTTACTGAGCCCAGTAACGTGAGCAATTCTTTCAAGATCCTGACCATCAGGATTACTATCAAGCTGAAAATTAGCCTGAAGAATAGAAAGCTGTTCTTCTGTAAACGTCGTTCTCACTCGTTTAGTTTTGCTGCTTTTTCCGCCATTTTCCGAATCACAGTCTTCCGAAGACGAGGTATTGTTTCCCTCAACTATGTCCAGATAATGGGACTTACAGAGCAACCGCGCATCCAGCAGCGCAAATTGTTCTCCAGTGGAAAGCTGCCTGGAACAAGCGTCGCATGCGAAACAAGCCAAATGATAAACTCGTTCTTTCGCTCGGCGTACCCAATCTCCAGCTCCAACACTTCGGCCACATTTGCCGCATTTTATTCCAAACGTCCTAGAACAAAAAAAAAATAATTATTATTATTTTTTAAAAAGTTTATTAATTCCTTTCGACACTAAATGCAACATTTGATTTATTGGTATTTTTATTTTCATATATATATATTTATTCGAAAGTTATTTACTGCTCCAGCAGAATGAATTTCTTAATTAGGACCGTTAATTAGCGAATTTTAAAATATTTACACATCAATATTCATACGACTGTTCTAAACTGACCAAGAAGACTATCTTGCAATATTTTTTGAGTAAAATTTATATTTTTATTGAACTTATTTATTTTAATTACTAATTAATAAATAATAATTTAGAGTAAAACTAAAATTATGTCAGTTTTTAATATTAAATTTTGCATTGCTTAAATTTATTTAAAGCCCCAATAAATTAAGCAATGACATTCCAAATTAACGTGCCGATTTTTAAACAGAATAAATAGTAATATATTAATATATGTGCATAAAGATTTTTTATGATAAATGTATGGAAAAATATGCTAAATTAATCCACGAGTAGATTTCTTTTTCTATCAAAATGTTAAGTCATCTTCATCTATAATCTTCTTTGTCTATTTATTGTTATAATTATTTAAACAAAATAGATTTAACCACAAAAAAAAATTGTTTTTAAATATTAATTAAAAAATATCATTTCTTCCCAAATAATATATAAAAATTAAGTTTACATTCATTTCTAAAAAGTATTTTATCTGCAAAGATGAATTTATACATACGGATATAAAAATATGCCAAAGAAGAAAAGAAGAAATAAAATTTTAAAGTATGTTCATAATACTACCAAATACATACACAAAAAAAAAAATGTTTTTGAATCAAGTATATAATTTTGAAGAACTTAATCTTCTTGATTTGAGTATAAAAATTCTTGAACTAATAAATTTTTTTTGATTTAAGGAAATTTTACTTGATTCAAGAATTTTTCGTTTTAATTCAAAAAAATTCAAAAACCCTTTTTAAAATTATTTTCTTGGTTCAAGAATTTTTCTCTAGAATCAAATTAATTTTTTTTTTCAGTATATATAGATATATATAAAATTATTTCATTAAAAATATTTAAACAAAATAAATTTAACCATGAAAAAAAATTGTCTTTAAATATCAATTAAAAAATATCATTTCTTCCTAAATAATTTATATAAGTTAAGTTTATATTCATTTTAAAAAAGTATTTTAACTGCAAAGATGAGTTTATACATACGGAAATAAAATATATGCCAAAGAAGTAAAGAAGAAATAAAAAAATTTTAAGGTATGTTTATAATACTATCAAATACTATGTTTACTATTAATAAATGTCTAGTCTATGCACATTTAGGTCCTGGCTAACGAAAATATGATAAAAAATTAATTATAAATGTAACTCTGTATACTAAGTTTAGTTAACACTTGTCATTTTGTTTTATAAGGATTAAAATATAATTTTTATAATTTTTAGTTTATATAGATGCATATTATCACTAAAGTGTGTCACTCTGTCAAATCTTTAACTCTGTAAAAAATTGAGAAACCCTGTCTTTGGCCCTTGGGCTGTTGGGTTAAAACAAAGACAAATAATATAAAATAAAATGATCATAAAACTAGCAAATATATAATTATTTCATTAAAAATATTTAAACAAAAAATATTATTTCTTCCTAAATAATATATAAAAATTAAGTTTAAATTCATTTCTAAAAAGTATTTCATCTTCAAAAATGAATTTATACATATGCCAAAGAAGAAAAGAAGAAATAAAAAAATTTCTAAGTATTATCATAAAACTAGCAAATATATATAATTATTTCATTAAAAATATTTAAACAAAATAAAATTTAAATAAATATATATAAATTTACATGCATATCGAAAAAGTATTTTATCTGCAAAGATGAATTTATACATACGGATATAAAATATATGACAAAGAAGAAGAAAAGAAGAAACAAAAAAATTTTAAGGTATGTTCATAATACTAGTAAATATATATGTATATACATATATATTATTGGCACCGCCTAAGGGGTATCTATATAAATCTTCAAGGGCTGTACAGCAGCTACTATATACCGCCCCGCCCTAATTTATTCATTTGTTCTTCCATGGGTCGGTCCTATAAGTCACTCGGGGATTAAGTTAAGCAACCACATATACATACATACATACATTAATATCTTAACATATATGTCTTGCATATACAAACTCAAGGAATTATCGTTTGGATTTTTAAAACAACTCTTTATCGATTCAATCCAGCTTGTTAATATTTCTTCTTTTTATTTTATCAATTCAAGTAAATTTTTGATAAATATATTTTTTTATTAAAAATTTTAGAATATAATTTAATAGTGAGCTCTCACGGTGAAGAGATACTTGTAGGTGAATATGTATGTGTAAGATCAAAAGGGGATCACAGCTGGCCGCACGACCCTTACGAGGCAAATTCTTCTCTTGCTCTTTATTTCTCCATGAAGTATCTTTTTTATCCTGACACTCCAAGTCCCGATTGAACATCAAGCATAACATAACATAACATAACAGGGAACTCTTATATCAATACATATGTGTAAGTATATACTTATGTACATTACATGGACGTACAAGTGAAAGAGATAGCAGTCAAAAAGTCGAGGAGGAGGAGGAGGAGGAGAAGTAAAGCTAGAATGACTTATCCATGACTCTTGTAATTCGGCACCCACATATGTAGAAAAAATAAGTATGTAAGAGTTCAGTAGACGGTATGGCTACGAATACGACTTTAGAGACATAAAAGGATTGATATTATTTGGTGTGAGCTTTTTTTTTATTCTCATGATTCCCATGCAATTATTGTTGTATAGTATCTCTTAGGAAGTTTCTCTTGTATTGACAGACAAGTCAGATTCGTGTTTTAGCTTTCTTTGGAGCTGCTTCGATGTTCAACGTAGGGAACATCAGATATGAAAGGCATATCATATCACTTTATCTCTTCTGCTTGGAGTTTATTTCAATCAATCTTGTGGAACTGTTGTTATGTGGCTTATTGCAATATTAGTCGCTATTAAATTTTTCATTTCTTCATTCAGATTATCTGAAAAATTAATCTTCAAAGTTAACAACCAATTGACTTTATTAATTCTACTAAAATAATAACTCGCTGTAATTTCTTCGCTTTGACTACTAAAATAAAAAAAAATTTTTCACGTATTTTGATGTTGCAGTTTCATAAAATTCTTCTAATCAATTAATGAAAAATGCTTGGGCATTTGATAGATTATTTATAAATCTATTAATTCCATAAATTTTTATCAATGATTTATTTTAGTGTAATTTTATAAACAATTTATTAAAACTAGTAATCTGCAGTCACTGTGCGACAGCCGAAATTTAAAAATTATGAATAAGAAAATTTTGCCTGAATAATTTTTTTATATTTATAATCACACTATACATAGTTTGGGTACTGTTTAAATAAATTTTAAAAATCGACGTTCTAATTAGTAAATTGTCTAACTCCATTTTAGAGAATCTTCTATTTGTACGAAAAAAACAATTAGTTTAAAATTCATTATCACTTTAAAAAACCATTTAATATCATTATTATCTATTAGAGATATAATATTTAGGTTTGAATCATTCAAATAATTTATAATTCGATTATGGCTACATCAAAATGTTTAAAAAATCACCCTCTAAAAAATATGAAGTTAGACAAATTACTAATTAGACCGTCGAAATAATAGTGTTGTCACAGGATCATTAACAAATAATTTAATGGACAAATGTGACAGAACAAATTTATAGAACCAAAAAACTATTAAAAACTCCTCCAAAAATTTGACATAAAAAAATGACTACTAAAAAATATATAAAACCAAAAGGCACTTATTCTTGTCTCGACCTTTCTGATGATACCAAATTAAACTATAAAAATTCCTTTAAAAATAATAATATGCTCGTTACAAAATTTTCCTTACTCTCTCAATTATTTAAATCATAAATCACTATCGCTGAAAAAATATCAAACCCAATGTAAGATTAAGATATACCCCCGTTACTAAATTTTTCTTAGACTCTTAATTATATAAATTAATTTTTGACATATCACCGCATTCAAGTGTACAAAAAAAAATGAACAAATTTTGTTTATCGCGAAACTCCTTCAAAAACTTATCATAATAAATAAACTATTTAAAAAAATCATATGAAACATTGAAAAGGCACTAATCCAGGTCTCGACCTTTCCAATGATACTAAATTTCATTTCATCACATAAATACAAGAGACAAAATTTTCCTTTTTCCCTTAGTTATTTAGATCATTAATCAATTTAAACAAGGACATGTATTTACTTGTTTTGAGTCCTCTTTAGGTACAATAAAAATTTTTATTAAAAAAATTCAATTGTACTCGGATAATAAAACCAACTGATTAAATTTGATAAGTTCACACTTTCTAATCGTTTAGGTACAATAATATGGATGTACTTAGAGAAAAATGCATGTGACTTGTGGGTCAAAAAAGATCACTCGTGTGCATCATCATTAAAGATAATACAAATCACATCAGATGTATATTGAGCAGAGGAGCCTTTGATGTGTAATATAATACCAATAAGCTATCACAGCATGTGAGGTCCCACCGGCAGAGTGTCAGAACACGATTGGTGTTCGAAAGATCATTAATTACATCATAGAAATACTCCATCACATCTACATAATATTTATGTCAATGAAAAAAAATATCCTCGATTTCTCCAATATTAAATATATGTGCCTCCAACTAAATTTAATTCCACATTCTTTTCACATATACTTATATATATTTATTGATTGCCCAATTTCTTTTCTTCTTTCTCTGTAAATGTTTTTTATAAAAAAAATTTATAAATATTAAATAATATTAATTATTTTTTACAACTGTATCAATTAATTTTTTTTCAAACTTTAATTAAAAAAAAAAAAAAATTTAGAAATATCGAATAATTATTTTTATAACTAATAAATTTTTTTTAATCGCCAAAATTTAATTATTTGTTTTGAAAAACTTAATTTTAAAAAATATTTTTTTTCATTATTAATATAAATTAATTTTTTTTTAATCGCCAAAAATTAATTAATTTTTTTTCAAACTTTAATTAAAAAAAAATTAGAAATATTGAATAATTATTTTCATAACTATATTGATTAATTTTTTTTTAAGCGCCAAAATTTAATAATTTTTTTTTGAAAAAATTAATTTTGAAAAAAATTTTTTTTTTCATTATAAAAAAAAATTTTTTTCCACACGATTGTCATTCACTTGACATTACGAAATCACTTGTAACTCATAAGAAGTATAACTTCATTCAAAAGAGAAAATATATAAATGTCTGTATATAAAAATAAGTTATAAAGAAATGACTTAAGACTTTTATTTTTTTTTTTTAAAGCGCTACCTATTTTTTCGAGATGAATATATAAAAAATAAAAGATCTGCGGGTTATGAAAACTAAAAATGGAAATTTTATTATTTAGCAAGTCACGAGATAGAAAACTGGAGGCCCGGACGAATAATATAATCCGTATTTCATTGATGTATTATTTAAAACCGTATTTGTTCGTTATAGTTTCGTAAGTTGTGTATTATATGATGATATGTGTCAGAGTGTCAGTAAAATCCTACTGAGGAGCGATTTAAGAACGAGATGATGTATTTATGTGGAGTAGCTTAGTATTAGGCTGAGAAGATATAGATATAATGTATAAGTTAAATGTCAAACAGGTTTAAAATCTAAACCAAAAGATATCACGAGCATAACAACACTGTCATGCTACTTATTTACAGTGATTTAAGATAAACAAATGATTATTCACGGATTTCGATGCCTGCTGAAGTAGCTGCTGTCTTAAGTCTGCTCAAATTAAACCTCTATTTGCTGTTAAGTCATTTATACATCCGTACCGGGTAGGGTATATTGTATATAGTGGCTAAATGTCATGTTAGAAGCTATTTTATTAGATATAGGTCATGGTTCTTTAATATCTAATAAATATACATGTTGATTTTATCTCTTCATTATTGTAATTATGGATAACTTATGCTCTTGTTTGTACCGTGTAACAAATTCAATCCCAATATGTTGAACAATTTTTTTTTTAGCGAGGAACTTCTTCGCTACAAGGCATTGTGTAATCTAAATTCTTCAGTATGGATTTTTGAATTTTTTTTTACTCCAGCAAAAAATTGTATTCAGAACAATTAGTTGTAAAAAAATTATCAATAATAATCTACTGCTTGATAAAATTTATAATATAAAACTCCAAGTCTATTCATGTGATTAAAGTTAAAAAATAATTATTAATAATATTGACTTTTTTGGAGGACCAGCAGATAAAATAAAAAGTAAAGCAAAAAGGGTGATTCTAAAATAACATTCCAGGTGAGCAAATAGTGATTATAAATTATAAATTATCAATTATTAAAAAATTTTTTTTTGTTTTTCTCTTCTTTCAAATCTAATATAATAAAATTTAGTAAAAATAATATTTATTTAATATAATAAAATGTTATAAAATTTATTTCTTGGAAATATTTACCTATATGATAATTTATAGAATTTTTTTCGACAAAAAAAAAAAATTTAATAAAAAATTTCACATGTAAAAATTAGTGGAAATTTTAAAAATCATTTTTTATTATTGTAATTGAGTTATAAAAAATAAAAAAATTGAATTTTAATTTTTATAGCAACTTTCATCAACAACACCAAAAGACATCTACTGATCATATCAATACACAAATAAATACAATCAATCCTTTCTTTTAATTTCTGCCTTCTCCCCTTCTCCCCCACCTAGTACTTGCAAGTTTACTTTAGATTTTTAAAATTGTCATTTTATCTTCCCCCCTCACCATCATGTAACAAAATATTATTTGATTAAATTTATCTAATAAATTTAATATTATATCTTCTATATCTTTTATGTATATTGCCGCTCGGCGTAAAATGAATAAATAAATAAATAGCAAATCAAAATTTAGTTTAAAAAATGCTTAATAATTTTTTTGTCAATTTTCACATGTGGAATTTTTTTATTAAATTTTTTTCATAATAATTTAATTGTTATTAAATTATAAAAAATTTTCTAATCTCTGTCAAATATTAGTATTATAATAATATATACTTACAATCCATAATCATGCCGGCAGTAAAGTTTCATCCCTCTGAGAAAGCATGAATGTTGATCGTTAAGTGATCGAGTACAAACATAACATCTAAGACATTTAGAATGCCAACTTCTACCCCCGACACAAAGCACTGTTCGTTCATTAATACTTTCACCACATCCACCACAGTTCATATCATTATTCTCATTATCTAATGATTCTCCACTAATATTTAAATTATTATTATTATTTATTAATTCCTTTTTTACACTTGATGTACTACTAGGGCTGATCGAGTCCAAAGATCTCTCGTCATTCTGAATTTCCATCTAAAAAATAAAATAAATTATTTATTTAACAATTTTTAAATTAATAAAAATTTTTGACAATTAATTAATCATTAAAATAAATTAATTTATGACACTGAAGTTTGCAGACGTCTAAAAATCTTTTTGATTCTTTTTATTAATTAAATTACAATTAAAAAGACATTTATAAAAAATTGCACTTATAGTTTTTCAAGTTTTGTACAAGTGAAATTTTTTTTCTTAATTGTCTAATTCAAATTTTTTTAATAAAGAATTTATAAAAATTCCATTTTCAATGAAAATTAAGTTAGCCGACATTTAAAAATTTTTATAATTTTTTTTTATTGAAAAAATCATTACAAAAAAATAAAAAAAAAAAAATTGCACGTCTAAAAAACTTCAAAAACTGTAAGTGCAATTTAAAAAAAATTTTTTTGTTCTAATTTGATTATTAAAAAAAAAAAATCAAAAAATTTAGAACGTCGGCTAACTTTAATGACATTCATTTTCATATTAATTTTACCTTCATTTTAACGCCAAACATTTTCAAGGACTTTTTACTGCAAATTGACTTCCATTTCAATGTGATCTCCAAATAAATAAATTAATTTTTAATTATTGAATAATCACTGCACTTAGTTAATAAATTAAAAACTTACACACTCAATAAAATAAATTAAATTTGATTAAAAAAATATAAATAGTTGGAGTAAAAAATTGAGAAGTAAGCTAAAAAATATCTGATCGAGTCAAAGGATCTCTTCAGTATCGTGGTTGAGGAAAGACTGGCATCCTCGAATCTCCCCTACTACCAGGAGTTTGTTTCGGTGTGACTAGCACGTGCAGCAATGAAACACGACCAGTATAGTATGTGCATTTCGAATCTAGCGAGAGGGGATAAATCTAAGTAAAGGGAAATGGAATCGAAGGACTAGCCACAATATAAACCTCTGCATAGTTTAGTCTTCAGGATCAACCTAAAAAGATCCTTAATAAAATAAATACCAAAGTCTTGAAAATTATATTGTAATTAATTATTAATTCTATTAAATTTTTAAGTAAAATTTAATTTTTTGTATTTTATAGCGAAATTTTTTCTTCATTTAAGAAGAAATAAATTAAAAAAAAAAATAAATAAAATATTGCAAAATAATGTTTTTTTTTTTTTAATAATTATTGCAAAAATCACCTTCATTTTTTGACTCATCTTCGGTTTGTCGCTAAGGTGAAAAAATAGGGGACTTAAACTCCGCCTATCATCACGCCCATTTAGATTCCACTCACTCTCACAATCTTATATTTTATTTCTTCTTTTTGTTACTGCGATTTATACACATGATTTTTTTACTTGAATTAAAGTTTTAAAATATTTTTTACTTCACTTGAAGAAAAAAAAATTATCATTATTTTGTTAATAAAAATTGATGAAAATTAAGTTAGCCGACATCTAAAAACTTTTAGAAATTTTTTTATTGAAAAATTATTACAAAAAAAAGAAAATAAAAAATTTTACTTGTAAAAAACTCGAAAAACTATCAGTGCAATTTTTTAAAAATATTTTTTAGTTTTCATTTAATAAATAAAAAATTTTAAATGTCGGCTAACTTTAGTATTATAAAAAATTGAATGTATTTCTTCTTGATAATTTTAGTGAATTAATTAATTTGTTGATGATTATTTAATAGCTATTTTTTTGAGTACTAACCAAGTTTTTTTTTTGTAATTAAATTTTATTAGTCGGCGATTAGATTGTTCGCTGGTTTCGGGCCTCGTTGTAAGTACCTACAGGTGATCCAGCTGTAAAAGCATAAAAAAAAATTATGAATATGAAGATGAGTTTTAAAATGTAGATTGAATCGAATGTTAAAATTGACAATAGAACAGCTTAATGTTTAACTGAGTATGATTTATTACCGCGAATTCTTACTGTGATATGTTAAGATGATTAATAATTTTGGTTTTTGCTTTAATCATTTTACTCAGGTTATGTAACTAGCCAGTAAAACCTTTTTTTGCTAGAATTAAAATATTCATAAATTAAAAATACAGTTATTAGTGATTTCTTGATTTAAGTCTTAATTTAAAAATGAATTTTTATTAGAAAATAATTACATTTAATTAAAAAAGTTTTTTTTTTTTTTTCATTTTAAAATTCGTGATATTGAAGTTAGGTGATAGCTGTCAATTTTTAATTTTTATGTCAATTATAATTTAAAAAATACTTCTAAAAATTTATAATAATAAAGTTAGCTGACGTTTTTAATTTTTTGACTTTTTTGTTTTAATTATTAAATTAGAACTAAAAAATATTTTTTAAAAATTGCACTTTCAGTTTTTCGAGTTTTTTACAAATGAAAATTTTTTTTTAATTATTTTGTAGTAGTTTTTTTAATAAAAAAAAAATTCTAAAAATTTTCAGATGTCGGCTAACTTAATTTTCATAAAAATTTCCACTAATAATTTTTTTTCAATTTTCACATGTGGAATTTTTTTATTAAATTGTTTTAAAATAATTTTATTGCTATAAAATTAGTCATCAGTCACTTGACAATTTTTTAATTTTATTTAACAAAAAGATTTGTTCCAAAAAATTATTTTTAAAAAATTGCATTTTTTATTTTTTTAATTTCTAGATGTCAATTTTTTTTGCCATAATTTATTTGTTTTAAAATTTTTAAAATTATTAAATATATACTGTTAACTTTAGTGTCAACAAAATTCACTGATTGCAAAAAAAAGTAGAAAAAAAAATTGATATGTAGAGATGTAAAAAAATAAAAAATGCAATTTTTTAAAAATAATTTTTTGGAAAAAATCTATTTGCTAGAAAAAATTGAAAAATGGTTAAGTGACTGCTAACTTTAATGTCATGTATTCTAATCATAAGAATACCATAAGGAAAAATTTTCTAGGTAGAGAAAAAAACTTTTTTTTCAGTATATTAAATTAATTTTCATTTTTTCATGGCATTAAAGTTAGCAATCGACCATTTTTTATTTTGTTTTGAAAAATTGCATTTTTAATTTTTTTTAATTTCTACGTCAATTTTTTTTTTTACCATAATTTATTTGTTAAAAAAATTATTAAATATCTGCACTGAAAAAAAATTTTTTTCCACCTAGAATAATACATTTTTTACTCGAGTTTTCTTGATTTAAAAAAACTGGTTTTCTTAACTTTAAAATATCACGTTTTATTATAAGGTTAGTTTTTTGACAGAAAACTTTATTCTTGTAGTTAAAAAACTTTCGTATTCTAAATGAAGATTAAGTTAGCAGATATTTGATAATTTTTTTAACAATTTATTATGGCAAAAAAAAGTAGAAAAAAAAATTGATATGTAGAGATGTAAAAAAATAAAAAATGCAATTTTTTAAAAATAATTTTTTGGAAAAAATCTATTTGCTAGAAAAAATTGAAAAATGGTTAAGTGACTGCTAACTTTAATGTCATGTATTCTAATCATAAGAATACCATAAGGAAAAATTTTCTAGGTAGAGAAAAAAACTTTTTTTTCAGTATATTAAATTAATTTTCATTTTTTCATGGCATTAAAGTTAGCAATCGACCATTTTTTATTTTGTTTTGAAAAATTGCATTTTTAATTTTTTTTAATTTCTACGTCAATTTTTTTTTTTACCATAATTTATTTGTTAAAAAAATTATTAAATATCTGCACTGAAAAAAAATTTTTTTCCACCTAGAATAATACATTTTTTACTCGAGTTTTCTTGATTTAAAAAAACTGGTTTTCTTAACTTTAAAATATCACGTTTTATTATAAGGTTAGTTTTTTGACAGAAAACTTTATTCTTGTAGTTAAAAAACTTTCGTATTCTAAATGAAGATTAAGTTAGCAGATATTTGATAATTTTTTTAACAATTTATTATGGCAAAAAAAAGTAGAAAAAAAAATTGATATGTAGAGATGTAAAAAAATAAAAAATGCAATTTTTTAAAAATAATTTTTTGGAAAAAATCTATTTGCTAGAAAAAATTGAAAAATGGTTAAGTGACTGCTAACTTTAATGTCATGTATTCTAATCATAAGAATACCATAAGGAAAAATTTTCTAGGTAGAGAAAAAAACTTTTTTTTCAGTATATTAAATTAATTTTCATTTTTTCATGGCATTAAAGTTAGCAATCGACCATTTTTTATTTTGTTTTGAAAAATTGCATTTTTAATTTTTTTTAATTTCTACGTCAATTTTTTTTTTTACCATAATTTATTTGTTAAAAAAATTATTAAATATCTGCACTGAAAAAAAATTTTTTTCCACCTAGAATAATACATTTTTTACTCGAGTTTTCTTGATTTAAAAAAACTGGTTTTCTTAACTTTAAAATATCACGTTTTATTATAAGGTTAGTTTTTTGACAGAAAACTTTATTCTTGTAGTTAAAAAACTTTCGTATTCTAAATGAAGATTAAGTTAGCAGATATTTGATAATTTTTTTAACAATTTATTATGGCAAAAAAAAGTAGAAAAAAAAATTGATATGTAGAGATGTAAAAAAATAAAAAATGCAATTTTTTAAAAATAATTTTTTGGAAAAAATCTATTTGCTAGAAAAAATTGAAAAATGGTTAAGTGACTGCTAACTTTAATGTCATGTATTCTAATCATAAGAATACCATAAGGAAAAATTTTCTAGGTAGAGAAAAAAACTTTTTTTTCAGTATATTAAATTAATTTTCATTTTTTCATGGCATTAAAGTTAGCAATCGACCATTTTTTATTTTGTTTTGAAAAATTGCATTTTTAATTTTTTTTAATTTCTACGTCAATTTTTTTTTTTACCATAATTTATTTGTTAAAAAAATTATTAAATATCTGCACTGAAAAAAAATTTTTTTCCACCTAGAATAATACATTTTTTACTCGAGTTTTCTTGATTTAAAAAAACTGGTTTTCTTAACTTTAAAATATCACGTTTTATTATAAGGTTAGTTTTTTGACAGAAAACTTTATTCTTGTAGTTAAAAAACTTTCGTATTCTAAATGAAGATTAAGTTAGCAGATATTTGATAATTTTTTTAACAATTTATTATGGCAAAAAAAAGTAGAAAAAAAAATTGATATGTAGAGATGTAAAAAAATAAAAAATGCAATTTTTTAAAAATAATTTTTTGGAAAAAATCTATTTGCTAGAAAAAATTGAAAAATGGTTAAGTGACTGCTAACTTTAATGTCATGTATTCTAATCATAAGAATACCATAAGGAAAAATTTTCTAGGTAGAGAAAAAAACTTTTTTTTCAGTATATTAAATTAATTTTCATTTTTTCATGGCATTAAAGTTAGCAATCGACCATTTTTTATTTTGTTTTGAAAAATTGCATTTTTAATTTTTTTTAATTTCTACGTCAATTTTTTTTTTTACCATAATTTATTTGTTAAAAAAATTATTAAATATCTGCACTGAAAAAAAATTTTTTTCCACCTAGAATAATACATTTTTTACTCGAGTTTTCTTGATTTAAAAAAACTGGTTTTCTTAACTTTAAAATATCACGTTTTATTATAAGGTTAGTTTTTTGACAGAAAACTTTATTCTTGTAGTTAAAAAACTTTCGTATTCTAAATGAAGATTAAGTTAGCAGATATTTGATAATTTTTTTAACAATTTATTATGGCAAAAAAAAGTAGAAAAAAAAATTGATATGTAGAGATGTAAAAAAATAAAAAATGCAATTTTTTAAAAATAATTTTTTGGAAAAAATCTATTTGCTAGAAAAAATTGAAAAATGGTTAAGTGACTGCTAACTTTAATGTCATGTATTCTAATCATAAGAATACCATAAGGAAAAATTTTCTAGGTAGAGAAAAAAACTTTTTTTTCAGTATATTAAATTAATTTTCATTTTTTCATGGCATTAAAGTTAGCAATCGACCATTTTTTATTTTGTTTTGAAAAATTGCATTTTTAATTTTTTTTAATTTCTACGTCAATTTTTTTTTTTACCATAATTTATTTGTTAAAAAAATTATTAAATATCTGCACTGAAAAAAAATTTTTTTCCACCTAGAATAATACATTTTTTACTCGAGTTTTCTTGATTTAAAAAAACTGGTTTTCTTAACTTTAAAATATCACGTTTTATTATAAGGTTAGTTTTTTGACAGAAAACTTTATTCTTGTAGTTAAAAAACTTTCGTATTCTAAATGAAGATTAAGTTAGCAGATATTTGATAATTTTTTTAACAATTTATTATGGCAAAAAAAAGTAGAAAAAAAAATTGATATGTAGAGATGTAAAAAAATAAAAAATGCAATTTTTTAAAAATAATTTTTTGGAAAAAATCTATTTGCTAGAAAAAATTGAAAAATGGTTAAGTGACTGCTAACTTTAATGTCATGTATTCTAATCATAAGAATACCATAAGGAAAAATTTTCTAGGTAGAGAAAAAAACTTTTTTTTCAGTATATTAAATTAATTTTCATTTTTTCATGGCATTAAAGTTAGCAATCGACCATTTTTTATTTTGTTTTGAAAAATTGCATTTTTAATTTTTTTTAATTTCTACGTCAATTTTTTTTTTTACCATAATTTATTTGTTAAAAAAATTATTAAATATCTGCACTGAAAAAAAATTTTTTTCCACCTAGAATAATACATTTTTTACTCGAGTTTTCTTGATTTAAAAAAACTGGTTTTCTTAACTTTAAAATATCACGTTTTATTATAAGGTTAGTTTTTTGACAGAAAACTTTATTCTTGTAGTTAAAAAACTTTCGTATTCTAAATGAAGATTAAGTTAGCAGATATTTGATAATTTTTTTAACAATTTATTATGGCAAAAAAAAGTAGAAAAAAAAATTGATATGTAGAGATGTAAAAAAATAAAAAATGCAATTTTTTAAAAATAATTTTTTGGAAAAAATCTATTTGCTAGAAAAAATTGAAAAATGGTTAAGTGACTGCTAACTTTAATGTCATGTATTCTAATCATAAGAATACCATAAGGAAAAATTTTCTAGGTAGAGAAAAAAACTTTTTTTTCAGTATATTAAATTAATTTTCATTTTTTCATGGCATTAAAGTTAGCAATCGACCATTTTTTATTTTGTTTTGAAAAATTGCATTTTTAATTTTTTTTAATTTCTACGTCAATTTTTTTTTTTACCATAATTTATTTGTTAAAAAAATTATTAAATATCTGCACTGAAAAAAAATTTTTTTCCACCTAGAATAATACATTTTTTACTCGAGTTTTCTTGATTTAAAAAAACTGGTTTTCTTAACTTTAAAATATCACGTTTTATTATAAGGTTAGTTTTTTGACAGAAAACTTTATTCTTGTAGTTAAAAAACTTTCGTATTCTAAATGAAGATTAAGTTAGCAGATATTTGATAATTTTTTTAACAATTTATTATGGCAAAAAAAAGTAGAAAAAAAAATTGATATGTAGAGATGTAAAAAAATAAAAAATGCAATTTTTTAAAAATAATTTTTTGGAAAAAATCTATTTGCTAGAAAAAATTGAAAAATGGTTAAGTGACTGCTAACTTTAATGTCATGTATTCTAATCATAAGAATACCATAAGGAAAAATTTTCTAGGTAGAGAAAAAAACTTTTTTTTCAGTATATTAAATTAATTTTCATTTTTTCATGGCATTAAAGTTAGCAATCGACCATTTTTTATTTTGTTTTGAAAAATTGCATTTTTAATTTTTTTTAATTTCTACGTCAATTTTTTTTTTTACCATAATTTATTTGTTAAAAAAATTATTAAATATCTGCACTGAAAAAAAATTTTTTTCCACCTAGAATAATACATTTTTTACTCGAGTTTTCTTGATTTAAAAAAACTGGTTTTCTTAACTTTAAAATATCACGTTTTATTATAAGGTTAGTTTTTTGACAGAAAACTTTATTCTTGTAGTTAAAAAACTTTCGTATTCTAAATGAAGATTAAGTTAGCAGATATTTGATAATTTTTTTAACAATTTATTATGGCAAAAAAAAGTAGAAAAAAAAATTGATATGTAGAGATGTAAAAAAATAAAAAATGCAATTTTTTAAAAATAATTTTTTGGAAAAAATCTATTTGCTAGAAAAAATTGAAAAATGGTTAAGTGACTGCTAACTTTAATGTCATGTATTCTAATCATAAGAATACCATAAGGAAAAATTTTCTAGGTAGAGAAAAAAACTTTTTTTTCAGTATATTAAATTAATTTTCATTTTTTCATGGCATTAAAGTTAGCAATCGACCATTTTTTATTTTGTTTTGAAAAATTGCATTTTTAATTTTTTTTAATTTCTACGTCAATTTTTTTTTTTACCATAATTTATTTGTTAAAAAAATTATTAAATATCTGCACTGAAAAAAAATTTTTTTCCACCTAGAATAATACATTTTTTACTCGAGTTTTCTTGATTTAAAAAAACTGGTTTTCTTAACTTTAAAATATCACGTTTTATTATAAGGTTAGTTTTTTGACAGAAAACTTTATTCTTGTAGTTAAAAAACTTTCGTATTCTAAATGAAGATTAAGTTAGCAGATATTTGATAATTTTTTTAACAATTTATTATGGCAAAAAAAAGTAGAAAAAAAAATTGATATGTAGAGATGTAAAAAAATAAAAAATGCAATTTTTTAAAAATAATTTTTTGGAAAAAATCTATTTGCTAGAAAAAATTGAAAAATGGTTAAGTGACTGCTAACTTTAATGTCATGTATTCTAATCATAAGAATACCATAAGGAAAAATTTTCTAGGTAGAGAAAAAAACTTTTTTTTCAGTATATTAAATTAATTTTCATTTTTTCATGGCATTAAAGTTAGCAATCGACCATTTTTTATTTTGTTTTGAAAAATTGCATTTTTAATTTTTTTTAATTTCTACGTCAATTTTTTTTTTTACCATAATTTATTTGTTAAAAAAATTATAAAGGTTATTAAATATCTACTAAATTAATTTTCATCTATTTAAAAAAAAAAATAGATAAAAAAATGGCTGAATATTCAAGAGGAGTATTAAAAGTTATCGTCGCCCAAATATGCCAAACTGTCGGCTGGCAATCAGTGCATACATCTCCCCTGGAAGCAATGGTCGATTTACTGGACGAGTACTTGCGCCAAATGGGCCAGATTTCTCACAATTACGCGGAAGTACTTGGACGTACAGACATTGACCTGCAAGACGTGAGTCTAATTTTCCAGAACATGAATGCTGATCTTGATCAGCTGGCAGAGTACGTAAAAAACGCCGGATCAGTTCCTTGCGTGATCCAAGTTTCCAAGTACCCGATTCCTCGCAAGGATCATTTTAATTTCATGGATCCTGAAATTCGTAAGCGTCCGATGTACTCTAATTTTAATGAATTGTCCGATGAGGAAAAAGAAATATTTAAAGCTGAGAATATAAATATAAATAACAATCAGCGTGACGTAATTAAGCGACCTGGAAATCGCCTGTTTGGAGGTTTAGCTTCAGGTAAACGCAGCAAACTGAGCAGCTCTGAATTAATGAGAAAGGTCCATAGTGTCGTGATGACAACTTCGGGATTTTTGGCACCGGTTTGCGAAGGTAAGTTGCCGGAGTCATGGACTTCGGTTGAAAATCATAGAGAATTTTATGAAGAACCTGAGATTAGTATTATTGATGAGTACAAAAATGAAAATTTAAAATTACCTGTAAGAGAATCTACAAATTTGATTATTAATACAGAAATTCCTAAGATTAAAATATCTAAAGTTGAATCACTGGCAAATTTACCACAAGAGCGAGAAAAATGGAGTGTAAATTCAGTAAATACCCCAAATTTATCTCCAGAAAATCAATTGAGTTTAAAAAATAAGCAAATTACTGACAAAAATGATGAATTAAAAAAATTTAAGGAGAAAAATAAAAAACATAGAAAAGATAAGAAAAAAGCAAAAGAAGATGATATAATAATTGTTTATCCTCTTGATACACCTGTAAGTCAGTCTTTAGAAAAAAAATCAATTAAAGATAAGAATATAAAAATTTCGTCAAATCTTTATTCTCCAATTTTACCCTCTGGGGTAAAATTGGAGAAAATTGAAGAAAAGAAGAAATGTAAAGCAGATACAAAAATAAATTCAGCGAAATCTTCTGAGGATTTAGTTGAGAAAGTAACACTTGAATTTCCTGAAGAAATTGACGATGCTGAATCTGACTTGGTAATACTTCCTTCGTTGGTAGTGAAGAGAAAAGTAAAGCAGAAGAAAATTTTGAAGAACGTTAAAAAAAGAAGAAAACAGGTGGAGAAAGTACTTACGGTTGTTGCTCCTAAATATGGCACAGACGGCAAACGAATTTGGATTTGCCCTCCTTGTGGTAGGGAAGACGACGGAACTCCGATGATTGGTTGCGATGATTGCAATGATTGGTTCCACTGGGTCTGCATTGGGATGCGGGTTCCGCCGCCTGATGAGGCCAATTGGTACTGCAAACCGTGTCTAGCCAAAAAACGCAAGGAAGGTACTGGTGGCAGCAAGAAGAAATCGCAAGGGGTTATTTTATAGGCTGAATTTTGTTATTGGTGTATTTAGGAGAGTTTTCTTTTTGGAATAAGAATTTTTTATGAGACTGTTAAGTTTTTGTAACGAAAATTGCGACTTGCAATTAATTTTAGAAAGTTTTATACAATCATGTATTTTTTTTTTAATTTTCTAGGTTGATAAGTTGAAAAATTTTTTTTGGAATATTTTTCGGGTAAAAAATGTAAAATATTTATTATAATTTATGAACGGATTAATAAAATTTTTAAGCTTGAAACTGGAATATTCTTATGATAAAAATAATAATAATAATAAGTAATATAAATAGGAAATAAGAAAAATAATACTGAAATCAGCTGACATCTGATAATTTTCTTATTTTTAGTAGAAAAAAACTCTTTATTTTATTACTCGTAATTTTCTTTTAATTTCTAGAGTTGGGATTTTTTGATTGAAATTTTTTCTTAATAATTTTATCGTTGTAAAATTATCAGAATATTTTATGATACTAAAATTAGCCGACGTTTTTAATTTTTTTTTAATAATTAAATTAGAACAAAAAAAATATTTTTTAAAAATTGCACTTTGAGTTTTTCAAATTTTTAATAAATGACATTTTTTTTGAAAATTAAGTTACCCGACATTTAAAAATTTTTAGAATTTTTTTTTTATTGAAAAAATTATTACAAAAAAATTTTTGAAAAATGTGACTTGTAAGAAACTTAAAAAACTGTAAGTGAAATTTTTTAAAAATATTTTTTTGTTTTAATTTAATAATTAAAAAAAAAATCAAATAATTAAAAACGTCGGCTAACTTTAGTATCATCATTTTTTTTTCTCTATTTTTGCAGTCATTTTTTCAATAACAAATTTTTTTTTTAATTTTTACGTGTCGGCTAATTTAATTATCAGAAAATTTTTAGTGTTTGTCAACTTCAGTGTCATAATTGAGCCGCCATATAAAGAGAAATTGACATGACATTAAATTTAACTGTCACTTGACAATTTTTTAAATTTCTTTATCAAACAAATTTGTTCCAATTGCATTTTTAATTTATTAAAATATCTACAAGTCAATTTTTTTGAATAATTTTTTTTTGTCATAATTTGTTAAAAAAATTATTGAAATTATCAAATGTTAATTAATTATCATATAATTGACAGATGAACGTGAATTTCAGTATTATAAAAATAAAAAGTAAAATTTATTAATTAAAAACAATTGATGAATAATTAAAAAAATAAAATGTAATTTTAAATATAAAGTTTCTACTTAATCTACAAAAGATAACTATTCACTGTCTAAAATTTTACTCAACTCATATATATATATATATATACTTTGCGTCACTATACAACTTACTTCGTCTATCTCCGGCGCATGATCCGAAGTCGCGTCTCCTATTACGTCAGCTCGACGATTCCCAGTTATTTACTTGCGTACACACACGACATATTCAATATATTATATATGCTTACTTTAATTAATATTATTGTTAAATAGTTATTAAAAGAGATAATAACTAATTAGTTTTATAAGTGACTTAATAAATCGTACACATTTATTAGTGAAAATAAAAAAATAAGTGACCTAAAAAAACTCGAAATATTTTTAATTTCAAATTTTCATTTATAACCTCTCAATAATGGCAATTATCTTTAATACTAAAAACATCTTTATTATATAAAAAATAATATTTTAATTTTATTAAAAATAATTATTACTTTTATAAAAATGTTTTTTTTTTATTGATAAGTTGGAGTAAATTTGTAGAAAAATAATCGGATTAAAAAATGTAAACAAAGTACAAATTATACAAATTGGAGGTAAAATTCTTTCAATAAAAATTTAATATTGTTTCAAAAATATTCCAACCAGGATGATACTGTGATAATTAGAAGTGAGTGAAATTTTATTAGAATTAATAATAATATTAAAATTAGCTGACGTTTTTGATTTTTTTTTTAATTACTCAATTTAGAACTAAAAAATATTTTATGAAAATTAATTTAATAGATATTTGATAATTAAAAATTTTTTTTTAACAAATGAATTATGGCTAAACAAATTAGAAAAAAAATGGAATTTTTGAAAATAATTTTTCGGAAGAAATTTGTTTGAAGAAAAAATTCAAAAATGGTCAAATGACAGCTAACTTTAATGTCATAAATATTTTTTAAAAATTGCACTTAAAAAATTTCCACATGTAAAAATTAAGAAAAACAATTTTTTTTAATATTTTTATTATTATATTTAATTTTTTAAGAGAAAGATATTGACAGCTAATATTGTAATCAAAATTTAGATTATTATTAATTAATTGAGTTTGTTTAGCGCCAATGCGGTCAGTTTTTTAATTAGTTTAAACTAATTCAAGTCAGGATGGAGCATTCCATCTTCGCTAAGGATCGAGACGGGATTGTCCCTGGGTATTAGATCGATGGATTTTTCAAAATAGTTACTTCCGCTCTCAGGGGATTTCTCTCGTTTATTAACATCTTTATATTTTCGAACAGATACTAACAGCTTCCAGCTTACTAGTGTTCTTGTTTGATCGAGTCCATCGACCTAATACCCAGGGACAATCCCGTCTCGATCCTTAGCGAAGATGGAATGCTCCATCCTGACTTGAATTAGTTTAAACTAATTAAAAAACTGACCGCATTGGCGCTAAACAAACTCAATTAATTAATAATAATCTAAATTTTGATTACAATATTAGCTGTCAATATCTTTCTCTTAAAAAATTAAATATAATAATAAAAATATTAAAAAAAATTGTTTTTCTTAATTTTTACATGTGGAAATTTTTTAAGTGCAATTTTTAAAAAATATTTATGACATTAAAGTTAGCTGTCATTTGACCATTTTTGAATTTTTTCTTCAAACAAATTTCTTCCGAAAAATTATTTTCAAAAATTCCATTTTTTTTCTAATTTGTTTAGCCATAATTCATTTGTTAAAAAAAAATTTTTAATTATCAAATATCTATTAAATTAATTTTCATAAAATATTTTTTAGTTCTAAATTGAGTAATTAAAAAAAAAATCAAAAACGTCAGCTAATTTTAATATTATTATTAATTCTAATAAAATTTCACTCACTTCTAATTATCACAGTATCATCCTGGTTGGAATATTTTTGAAACAATATTAAATTTTTATTGAAAGAATTTTACCTCCAATTTGTATAATTTGTACTTTGTTTACATTTTTTAATCCGATTATTTTTCTACAAATTTACTCCAACTTATCAATAAAAAAAAAACATTTTTATAAAAGTAATAATTATTTTTAATAAAATTAAAATATTATTTTTTATATAATAAAGATGTTTTTAGTATTAAAGATAATTGCCATTATTGAGAGGTTATAAATGAAAATTTGAAATTAAAAATATTTCGAGTTTTTTTAGGTCACTTATTTTTTTATTTTCACTAATAAATGTGTACGATTTATTAAGTCACTTATAAAACTAATTAGTTATTATCTCTTTTAATAACTATTTAACAATAATATTAATTAAAGTAAGCATATATAATATATTGAATATGTCGTGTGTGTACGCAAGTAAATAACTGGGAATCGTCGAGCTGACGTAATAGGAGACGCGACTTCGGATCATGCGCCGGAGATAGACGAAGTAAGTTGTATAGTGACGCAAAGTATATATATATATATGAGTTGAGTAAAATTTTAGACAGTGAATAGTTATCTTTTGTAGATTAAGTAGAAACTTTATATTTAAAATTACATTTTATTTTTTTAATTATTCATCAATTGTTTTTAATTAATAAATTTTACTTTTTATTTTTATAATACTGAAATTCACGTTCATCTGTCAATTATATGATAATTAATTAACATTTGATAATTTCAATAATTTTTTTAACAAATTATGACAAAAAAAAA